TGTACAAAAAGATCAGTCAGGAACAGTCCTGCTCTGCTTCATTCCTGAAAGCACTGCTTGGGAAGGGAAACTTCATCTTGGAATAAAATCATGCTAGCATCCTGCTGCAACAGAAGCCCATCTTGCCTCTTCTCCTCCTGCAGCCACTTGCCCACGGTTCCTCTGAGTTTCTGCAATTGCTCCTCTTCCCTCTGGACACATCTGTCTAAAGTCTCCACAGCAGAGGAACACTGGGGTTTTCGGCACCCTCCCAAAAGGCACCCATGATATTTTCATGTGCTTGCGTTTTACCTTTTAGACCTGCTTTAATCTGTCCTAACGGCGGTGCCAGTGAAAGAAGAGTCATGTTGGTCATCAGCCGTACCAGCCAGCCGTGGGCTTCATGATTTGGCTTTGAGGTCTATGCAAATGCAAACATTTATTCAGAACTACCTTGAGCCACTGGTGACCTCCTCCCATCTGGACTCCCTCTGCAGCAGCTAAGGGGACAGTTCACCCGTTGGATGTTCTCAGGAGCAGGAGAAGAAAAAGGTCCTCTGGCAGACCACTGATTTTCTACAAAATTGAAGAAACCAGTCTGTGAAATCACTACCTCACTGTCAAATCAGGCTGAAACCGGCCAATGGCTTCAAAAGTTAATGGAAGAGCCAGCCAGCCAGCAATAGTACGATCACAAGCCTCATTTCCTTAGGAAACCAAGTGAAATCCAAGCCACTCTCATGCCACATATTACAAGGAAATAGGAGAAAACTAAAGAGAAACTCAGTGTTTCCACATATTTCTGTGTAATCTACTGTCCCATGATTCACAGATGGCAGGACAAGGGGAGGGAGCCCGCAGGTCCTAGGCCATTCGGCGTTTTCAGGCTGTGTTGTATACTTCACACAGCAGTTGAGCCTCCTGACACTGCCCCACACAATCAGTAATGCTCTCAAACCTGATTATTTGCTTTATCATTGTGTGTTGTGTCTTTCAGCTGGAGGACACTGTCATTTTCAGGAACTGCTGCTTCCACATCCTAGCTGACTCATTTCGTTGTGACTATTTTCTTCCACAGAGTGATTGACAGAATCTGCAGGCATCTTTCATTTTTTTTTTTTTCCAAATAAAAGAAGAAATAGATCTTCAAATGACTACTTCTTTATTTTAGACTTACAAGTAAGCCAGAACTTTATGAATCATTCTTTCAAGAAGCCAAAATAGAGTATTGGCAGGAACTAGGTCCTCACCACAGTTAGATCATGGGCTCTCCTCTTGCACAGGTCGCATAGGGCACCACACAAAAAGGCATGAGGCACCAAATAGCAACATAGAAACTCCAGTTAGAAATTATCTGACCTCCAAAGGCTCCAGTTGTTACTCTCCCCAGGAAAACAATGACAAAATTTCCTCAAATTCCTTGTTTTTCTAATAGGTGAAATAGGGATAGATCATTGAGAAAGGAGCTCTCACCAGAAATCCTATGTTTCCTCATCAGAAATAATTCCCAATTCTAAAATACTCATGTTTCATGTCAGTGGCTGAACGGTCCCACTCAAGGTAGAAACCCGGGTGCTCTGACTGCAGATCTGCTCTTCCTTACAGGCGCTGCAGAAGCTCAGAGCCCTTCTCACATCTCCTAGGTCGAGGCACACACTGGGCTGTTCATCTTACACACTCACAGGCAACCGGGGACATTGACCTTGCAAAGATATTTCTGTCACACTTCACCCAAGTACTATGGCATGGGAACACAGAAAGCCTTTTTTCTTACTCCTAGGCTAGCTGTGTTTAGAACCAGCAACACCAGCAAGAATTCCAGTCTTTGATATGTCGGCAGGAGCTAGAAAAATCAGTGGATCTGGCAAATCGGAGATACACTGCTATGTGGTCAAAGCGTGAGACTGCTACCGATGCTGCCCTTACTGACTGTAGGACACCAGAAAAATCACCTACTCTTCCCCGTGCCTTTGTTTTTTCACTGGGTAGTAGCACTTTGCCCTCTCTGTTGCTGCAGTAGCAAGTTCTTAGGATGGGAGGAATATCTGTAACAGCATGTTACTGACCTGCAGCATTGCTTTGAGTAATAAGTGACTTATAAGTGAACTTTTACATTGTCGTCTCATTGTTCTTTCTCCTTTTTTCCTTTGTTTGCCAATCTTTCTCGCTAAGGCTATGACTACTCCAGCATGCAAAAATATAACCAACAAAGTCAGCAGAGCCAAACCAGAGCCTGGGAACTGGGGAGCTGACTACAGAGACACCCAAATGGGCTGTGCAAACACCAACAAGGATTGGGAATCAGCCTCTCCATAAATTTATTATCTCAGCTGGGTGACCACACAGTGTGTACATGACACGCAGCGCTGTGCTGACACAGTGCTGCAGATCTCATTGACAAAATTCCCGGGTGGGCTCCCCTCCAAGCACGCACCAGACTCATTGCCCAGCACACCTGAACGCACATTCATGCAACACAACTCTTGACCCATCATTCAGCATACTGAGTTCACACAACTCCTTGCGTAAGAGGTTGGGCAAGCCTAGGTTGCCCTGTTCCCTGCTCCAACATGTATTGCAACATTGACTATTTGCTGCCTACCAGGAGTTCATGATGTTCCTGTGTCCTGGGTTGAGTGAGTGGTGGAGTTTTTTGGTGGCAGGGGAGGGGGCTATCGGGGCGGCCCCCTGTGAGAAGCTTCTCGAAGCTCCCCCAGCTCCACATCAGCTCCACTTCTGTTTGGAAACTGAGCCCATCAGCTGCGCCTCTGTGATAATGTATTTAAGAAGGGACGTGGTGATGAGCAGGGGGACTTGTGAGGAGGAGTTGCTGCAGCTGCATGAACACCAAGGTCAGTGGAGGAACGGAGGAAGAAAGGAGGGAGGAGGTGTGCCGGAGCAGAGACCCCCCTGTATCCTGTGGGGAGACGGCAGGGTGGCCCCCCCTGCCACCCATGGAGATCGACGGTGGAGCAGACATTGATTTGTGGCCTGTGGCTTCTGCTTGGAATAATCAAGGTGCTGTGCCTGAAGAAGGCCGGGATCTCATGGGAAAAGGTAGCCCCACTGCTGCTGCATTGTGGTTGGCTGCCAATCAGGCCTAAACCACAACATCCTGAGAGGCTGCTGAGCCTGATGAACCCTACAAATTATCATCCACTTCTACTATTCCACATAGGGTCCAATGATACGACAGCAAGGCAACTCAAAGCCATCAAAAGAGACTTTAGGTCCCTCAGAACAATGTTGAAAGGATCTAGAGTGCAAGCGGTGTTCTCCTCTATCCTCCCAGTTAGAGGAAGGGGTTTAGGAAGGAGGACACAAATGGAACAGGTGAATGCCTAGCTGGTACTATACTCAAGGTTTGGCTTCTATGATCATGAGAAACTGAGTCTGTTGGGAGCTGGTGGGATTCACCTAAGAAAGTTGGGCAAGAGGGTCTTTGCTAACAAGCTGGCCAGACTTGTATGGAGAACTTTAGACTTAGTGGGGAAAGGGAACAGAGTTTTGAGCAACAGAGAAGAGCCAGAGGCTGCTGATGCTTTAGGAGCCAACAAGGAAACACCAGTGAAATGACTCAGAGGAATTAGGGCATGTTCCTCTAAAAAGGTGTCACGGTGAGTAGCCCACCTGAAGTGCCTCTATACCAACACACACAGTATGGGTAAGAAGGAGCTGGAAGCCACTGTGTAGCTAGAAAGCAACAATCTAATCAATATATACTCAATATACAAGGGGAGATTATAAGAAAGCTGGAGAGAGACTTTTTTACCAAGGTCTGTAGTGACAGGACAAGGAGTAATGGTTTTAAACTGAAAGAAGGTAGGTTTAGACTGGACATAAGGAAGAAATGTTTCATGCTGAGGGTGGTGAGGCTGCTGGCACAGGGTGCCCAGAGAAGTTGTGGATGCCCCATCACTGAAGTGTTCAAGGCCAGGTTGGAGAGGGCTTGGAGCAGCCTGGTCTTGTGGTTTACGCTCAGCTACTCAAGCGACAAACAACCTCCCTGCCAGGCTGATCTAGGCAGATTCCAGGGGGTGGAGGGAAACTGGATTATTTATCTACTTTTTCTGCTTAAACATTCATTTACTGCCTCCGCTCCTGAAGCAAATCCACCCCCGAGCCACGCACTTCCATGTTTTCAACCTCAAAGCATCCAGGTGGGACAGGGCACTTTTTAACACACTGGGGGAAAATCCTGTTTAAAAGGGGTGACTGAGCACCTGGAGCCACCCCAGGAGGGGCCCTGGGGGTACCCCCACCCCAGAAGGGGTGAAGGGGAAAGGGCTGGGGTTGAGGAATGAAGGGAGATGTTGCGGTGAGGGCCACAGAATGGGGAGGAAAGCGGCCAGAAGGGCTTAAGAAAGATGGGGGAAGGCCCTGAGGGAAGGGGCTGAGGGGAGAGCCAAAGGAAGGGGCTGAGGGGGAGGGCAGAGGTGATGGAAGGCGCCCAGGCCATGATGTGAGGGGATGAGGGAAGGGGTTGAGGGAAGGTCCGAAACAAGGTGCTGGGTGAAGGCACTGAGGGGCCGGGGGAAGGACTGAGGGCAGGAGGCAAAGAGTGAGGGGACCAGGGAATGGCTGAAGGCAGGCGCCGAGGAAAGCTCCAAACCAAGGAGCCGAGAGAAAGACTGAGGCGAGGGAAGGTGCCCGGAACAGGAGAACCATGAGGGAGAGGGCGCTGAGGGGCGGGCGGGAAGGGCCGCTGAGGGCCGGTGCCGGCGCGGCGGTGACCCGCGGGAAGAGGAAAGCCGCGGGCGCGGCCGCGCTCTCTTTCCGGTTCAGTTTTCACTTTCTGTTTTTTTTTTTTTTTTTTTTTTTTTTTCTTTTTTTCTTTCCTTCTCTCCTTTCGCCGCCACCGCCCGCCCCCCGGCTCCCGGCCCCCGGCCCTGCCTCCCCGCCCGCCCGCGCCGTCCTTTCACTTCCTGGGGCCGGCGGATGGCGGCGGCCCGCAGCGCTCCCGCCCCGTATGCCGCCCCGCGTCGCCTAAACCCGCCGGCCCGCCCGGCCCGGTAGCGCCGCGCCCTCCCGGGGCCCCGCCGGGAGCGGAGCCGCGCCGAGGGCCGGGCGGGGCGGCATGCGGGCGGCGTGAGGGCCGGCGAGGCGGGGAACGGCGAGGAACGAGCCTCCCGGCCATGGGAGAACGGCGGGACGAGGAGATCGGCGGGCCGGGCAGGGGTGAGTCCCTCGGGCGGGGGGTGAGCCACGGGGAGGGCGGCCGGCTCCGTCCCACCCCTTCGTCCAGGGAGGAGAAGTCAAGCCGGCATTGCCCCTCTGTTTCTTCAAAGCCGGGGCTGCTCGGCCCTGTGGGGACGAGCTTGAGGGGGGTGCCCGCTCCTTGCTGAGTGAGGGAGAGCAGCCCCTGTACGCCCCAAACCCCTGGATGCCTTCGACGCTTAGAAAGGAGGTTTTGGTTTTTTGGGTTTTTTTTTTGTTTGTTTTTTGTTTTTTTGTGCGTGGTTTAATTTTGTCTGCCTCACTAGGGACACGTTGGCTTTTCCAAGCTCCCACACTGCACCGGTAGCAGACCCCAAGGTCCACTCAGCTGGGAGAGCCGCCGTGCATTTTCTGGTTTTGTGGCTGCGCACACCTTCGGTTTGTCCTTGGGAAGCCGTGGTGGTTAGCACAGGTGCCCTTCAGGAGCCGGGTATGGAAATACAAACAGATCGGCTGCATGCGGCTCCCTTCCTGGGACTGGGGTGGGGAGCTCATGGCTGGAAGACCTCTTTGCTCCCCCCTTGGAGCAACTGCGTTGCCCTTCAGGGCTGGAAATTGGCCCTAGAAGAGCAGAGAAAAAAAAAAAAAAAAACAGACATGTTTCTGCTTTGGTTCTGCACAGTTCTGCTCCCAGGTTGTCCTCAAATTATCCTGCAGAGGTTTGGATAGGAGCAGGGCGTGTCGAGCTGTGGGTCTGCACTCCTTAAGGGGGGATAACCTGAGATAGACGGAACAAACCAGAGGGTGGATGACGCAAAAACAGTTGTAAAACATGTTCCTTACTCCATGGGAACAAAGGAGGGGTTTTTTAAAAAAGGTGCAAGAAAGCCAGCCTGGCCCAGAATAATCAGTAGCTCGGTGTTTTGATGCTCATCACGGATGCAGGAGACGCTGGGTGAAGCTCTGCTCTGTGCGGGATTCAAGTCAGAACATTAACCTCATGGTTTTTCCCCAAGTGTTTGGTCAAAGTGCATGTTTCATCGTGCTGCTCAATAGATCTCTTTACAGTGCTTATGAGAGATTCGTAACAAATGTGGAGACAAACACAGGGCTCTACTGGCACTAGCTGTCCAGGGGTTGAATCTGGAAATTACTGGTCAGTGCGTGAATGAATTTGTTAGATATAGTGTGTTGTCAGGAAAATGTATGTTTTCACAGCAATCGCTGTTTTCCAGTTGAAAAATCATTTTGTCAGAGAATTCCCTATCTGCTCTGATGAGAAGTAGAAGTACTGACCTAGGACCAGAGACTGTATTACCCAGCTCTGAAACTGGTTTTATCATACTAGTTTGGTCTATTTTTAGTGTTCCTCTTAAACCTGGTGGTTTTGGCAGTAGCAGAGATAATTTCAGTGTTCCATGCTTTCAGATACTCGCCCCTGATAGCCCCTGACATCCATAGCCCAAGTGACTTCGAGCTATGTTGGTACAACTCTTTGCAGAGCCATGCAGCGATCCAGATTGATGAACCTATCTGGATTAAAAATAGCCTCTTTATTTTCTGCTGCAGTTTGCTGATTTTCTTCATTACACAACCCCAGCTGTGCTAGAAGGGGAAGTGAAGGAGCATTGGGTCATGGTCTTGTGTAGGTCATTGTAGCCACCCACCAAAATGTGTGTGGTATTACAGCTTTGGTGGAACAGTCTGCTTTTATTACATGAAATATATATATGTTGGTCACTCTGGCACCTGCCAGAGTGACCAACAAATTAGTCTGAGTTAAAATTGTTTTGAGACCAGAAATAGAAATGTCTTATTATTTTTGGTAAATTTTATTTTTGCAGTTTGGCGCTTTTTTTTTTTAAATTTATTTTATTTTATTTTTGATGGTGAGATAACTACTCACTACTTCTGATGGGGTGTTTGGAGTCAGTGTGCATGTGGATTTTAGTACTTGGCTTTGGTTCTGTTTTCATCTGAAACGATCAGTGTGTCTTGGTAATTTCTGCAGCCAAAGGGTCCATAGAGATCGTGCAGTTAGTTCTATCTCCACATCAAGCAGAACAAGAGACCAGGGGAAAGAGAGCCAATGCTGAGAGTGACTGTAGTGAGAGCAAAAGCAATGCAACAAACCACGCCTAAGGAAGGATATATCCCTGTTTGGGAGATTTTCAGGCTTGCTCAGAGGCAAAAGGAGCAAGTAACCGTGGTCTGGAGGAATGCAGCTGCAGGATTTCAGGCAGGGGAAATGAGTTGTTTCCAGCCACAAACAAGTTGTTTTTTTGTTTTTTTTTTTTTTCTTTTCCCAAATGGGGCAGCTCTGCCTTGGGGAGGTTGGTTTTAACACATGAACTGTTGCTGTTGTTCTCACAAAGCTGCCTGTGTGTCAGGAGACCCTGGACATCAAGGCAGCGTGTGTAGTCACCTTGACAGCGCATAGGCTTTAGATCCAGAAGGTTCCCAAGGTCAATTTTTCATGGTCCGGGGAGACAGCAGATGAACTGCAGCTCGCATGGCAGCAGGCTGATGTTTCTTGGGAGGGCGGGTGCTGTGTGGTTGGAGAGCTTTCAACATGTGGGTTTTCAATGTAGCATCTGTGGGCTGCTCGCAAGGGATCCTCGAAACCTAACATAGCAAAGGCAAGCCTGTCATCAGCGGGTTTTTAGTTTGCTGTGCACTAGTCTCCAGCTCTCTCACAAGGTCAAAGCACGTCAAATCTGGCTGGTTTAGGCCACTGGGCTACTGCACTAGCATGGAGAACCACTTGGCTGGCTGGTTTTGCAAAAAAAAAAAAAAAAAAAAAAGAGCTGTCTTTAGTTGTTTAAGTGCTAAAATACCTGTGCTGGTGCTAGACTTCAGAAGAATCAATGCAGACACCTGCAGCTGAGTGAATCTACAACAGGTGGCAACCCTATATAAGATGATAGAAGAGGGGATGGGGCTTTGAGGAGCATCTGCTGAGATGAAAGGCAGCACAACAACTGCAATTGCAATGAATTAACGGGGAAAACCTGTAATAACCACATCCTCGATTACATGAGCAGCTAAAAGTAACAGGAAGGATCTTTGTCTGGTGTAGAACTCCTACTCTGAGTCCATTTTTCACCAACAACAGTGGGCAGCTGTGGCTTTGCCCAGCCAAGGATTGGGACCCCCACCTCCCTGCAGCCTGTCCTAAGGCTGCATCACCCTCCAGGGGAAAAATTTCTTACTCACGTCCGGTCTGGACCTCCCAAGGTGCAACTTGAGGTGTTTCCTCATATTTTTTTCCATCTGCCAGTGCCAGAAGAAAGGTTCCATTTTCTCTCTGACTTCCCACCAGGTAGCTGCAGGCTGCAGTTGGATCTCCCCAGCTTTTTTCACCCAAACTAAACAAGCCCATCTCCCTTGTTCTCAGTGTAATGATGTATGGTCTTGTAGGAGCTGGCTTCTCCGGGTAGGAATTTGGGGCACAGTTTGAAACAACCAGGTTTGCTGAATTTTCTTATGACACAAGATTTTTTTACGTCATGTAGGAACATAACCTTCCCTAGCTGTGAGGACATTATCAATGTTTTCTCCCCAACCAACTAGAGGCATTCAGATACCACAGTAAGATTAAATCTGTGTTGGCAGAGCTCAAGTGGAGCTGTCTGTTTAAAGGTTGCCTGTCCTCTGGGCAGTGTGGTAGCTCTTTGGGAGGGTACCAGGGGTTCCCTGTGTTGCCTGACTCTTAAAAGTGATATAAATAAATACTGTCAGTCTCTCATTGAAATAAAAGCCATTACAGAAGCTCCTGCAGCATAGATATCTTCATTCCTGGGCTACCTGATCCCAGAGGTAATTTAAAATACAATCCAGCACCTGGGTTTTCCAGTTTAGCAGCAATCACCTTGTGATTGTTTCATTGTGAAAGTGTGTCTTAAATACATCAAACCAGGAGATTTCAAAAGATAACATCTCACCCCAAGCAGGGTCATAACTCCTGGGTTTAAGGCCAAGGATATTAATTTAGGGGCGCAGAGCTGCATCAACCTGCTTACTTATCTCAGCTAATTGCAAAGATTAGAGAGCTGTGCCATCCAAAAATTCCGCCCCCCCCCCCAGCAATTTGAATGCTGTTCTTCTGGGGGAAAACAGCTCTGCAGTTAGGAAAGCTGTTGAACCTCCATGTGAGGAAACCGCTCTCTGAGGGTACAAGGAAACATCCGTTGCAGAGAGGTGGTTTTTAATGATCTGTTACGATGATTTACTTGCAGGAAGCCTGTAGCAGTTGCAGGATAATTGGCTCAATAAGTTGCTGGTCTTGGCCATGAAAGCACCACATAGAGTAAGAGATGCTTCCTACCACGGTCATGCTACCGTGGCACTGCATATCCATCATCTGCTGTCAGCCTGGCTCCACACACATCAGAGTGGGGGTAAAACCTTGTGCTGATTTAATGGGCTGTCCCAGCTGAGACTGAAAATCCATCTTGGCTGGTATCTTGACTCCAGGAGTGACCGCTTAGGGAGAAGTGTGTGAACAAAAGTACAGCGCTCTTTCTGCTGAAAACTCAAGCCACTTGCGTAGGTCTGTGGCTCAGGGACTTCCTGAGGAAGAGGTGGAATCTTTGCATTTAATGGATGATTTTTTTTTTTTCCCCCCACAGAGCTGATTTTTGAACTCATCTGCAGCATCCCATGGCAAGACCTTCAGAAAGTGCTGCTTATAATTAGAGCCCTTCTTGGCTCTGCCAGACAGCCCGTGATACAACCTGTGCTGCCTTTTCCATCCTGGGTGGGAGACTTTTTTCCCATTCATTTGCCATCAGACTTGCTCCTCATCTCTGCAAATGGGTGCCTACATCACCCAGTTTAAGCCAGTGGTCTTGTTTCAGCTAGATCACGAGCACAAGCCTGCTCTGGTAACCCCATCCCATGCCCAACATCCACCTCTGGTACATGTAATATCCTGGCTGTTGTACATCACATCTGTTACAACGTGGCAGGTTCAGCCAGCTCTGCCTATTAGCAGCCTGACAAATACAAGGTTGTCTGTG